CGGGAATGAGGCTTTGGAACCCTGCAGTGGTTTGGGTTTAAGGAAAGGACATTAAAGCTCATCCTGTTCCACCCCCTTGCCATGGGCAGAGGCACCTTCCACAAGCCCAGGTTGTTCCAAATCCTGTCCAGCCTGGCCTTGGACACTTCCAGGGATGGAGAGCCACGACCTCCCTGGGCAATCTAAGGCAGCCCCATTTCCATTTCCTCCTCAGTGCAGGTGTCCCCTGCTGCCCACGAGCACAGGCCTGGTGACAACTCCCTGTCCTCCTCCCGACCCCCTGTGCCCCCTCATTGGACAAGGCTAGAATGGCAACACACATTCCCAAAGTCTGGCTGCTTCCTTAAATCCCTGGACCAGTTAGTGCCGCCTCTGAACAGCTGAAATGAGCTCTCAGTGCCTAGAAACAAGCAGGAGTGACAGACAAAGGGATCTGAATGTGGAAATAGGTGAGTTCCACCTGCCCACCGCTGCTGATGCAGAGGCAGGGGCTCAGGGCAGCTGTGCAGCCCTTCCCTGGGGCACTGATCCTGCACTGGAATGTTGTGGTGTTGCCAAACCCAGCCTCAAACCAGGACACGATAAGCCCTGACCATTTGCTCCCAACCCAGGCACACCCACAGCCCTTCCTGGGCAAATAGTTGAAATCCTAAAGCATACTGGGAAAGGCACCTTTAACTCCAAATAAATGGGCCCAAGAAAAAAATAATCTAACTTAGCAAAGGACGATGCTCTTGACTTCCTGTTTTCCTTCATAAAGTATTTGTATATAACAATCTGTAAATAGGGGTGAGGAAAATCTCTCTCCCTAGAGGCAGAATTAGTGATTATGCTTCCAAAATTTACTCACAGTCTCAAAACTCAAGCAAGCAGCATAGTTCCTGTCCACAGCAAGTTTGGCACATTGCATTTCTAGCTCTATTTAACTGACAGACCAACCTGATTGCAAAGCAGTGAAGCAAACACAGCTCCAGAGCTGCCCACAGCCCAATGACAGTTGGGTTTTCTCCCTCAGCATGAGCTGAGTCTTTGCCCAAATTTGTGCCTGTCCTTGCACATTTAATGGAAAAAGCTTTAAAACAGCACCTGGGGAACTTGTGTCTAAATCTGAGAACACCAGAGCACCTCAGTTCTGGCTTTATTCTTAAGTGTCTCCAATGGATAATCTGCTTTCTTCATTTGAAAGAGGGCACTGCTGGCAGCAGCAGAATTAGGGTGCAGGCAGGGGAGGAGGATCCTGGGTTTAGTCACAACCCTGCTGGGATCTGAGACGGGCACTCACCTTGTCAGGGAGGGATGAAGAGGACAATCCTCCTGAGAAGCCCTGGCTCTGGATTAGGGTGGAGAAAGGAAGCAGGATGGCAAGCACAGGAGGCAAAAAAAGTTTCTAAAATGAAAATAAAAGGAAATGTTGAGCTAGGAAACACACCACCTTCTAGTCCTGGGGCATAGAGGTAAGAAAATCACAGGGAATTACATTTATCTGGGATTTCAACAGGAGTGTACACGACAGCTCTGTAAAGCTGGGAGCCACAGAAGCATTTCCTAAAACAGATATCTCAGCAGACCTTATTGCAGAGGTCACTTTTACAAATTTCCAAGTGACTGAGCTGTGCATCTGTTCTGTTTATACTGCCTGCAGACACTGCTATAAAGTACTGTACATTGATGTAACTGAGCGAAGGAGACAATGATATAACCATGCACTGTACAAGAGTTATTAAAATAGCTAAGTTATACTTATAAATCCATCTCCGTCTCTTTCACTGGGTTTTCATAATGGTTTGCCACTGAGAGTCTCAGAAACTCAGCAAAATGTGTGAAACTACCTATTTCCTTTTGTATTTGGGGACTGACATTCAACAGGAAGGATGTTATAGCCTGGATAGCTGTGTTTTAAGAACGGGGAAAGCATGAAAAGGCTGTACAAAAGCACATTTATGCCCATCTGGAAGGGGTACTACTGTGGCAGCCGTCCTAAGTGGAACAATACAGAAAGAGGGAACAGCATAAACCCCTGACTTAGGGCCTGTTACATGGATTCTCCAACAATTCCAGCTAAGAGCCATCCTCAGTTTGAGGCGGCAAAGGTTTGTTTTCTCTTTTCCTTAAAGAATTAAGTTACTTAGTTGAAATAATTGGTAATGCCTTTTGTAGATGTTTAGGGGAGTTCAATTTCCAAGTGGCACCACACTAACAAGACCACCTCCTCTATAGCCCAAATGAACTTCAGGCAAACCAAGAGTCCAAAACACCTGCCGTGCTGGGTCGGGGGCTCTCTCAGCGGCTGGAGCTGTGGCCGACACGCCGTTTCGAACTTTGGGGCAGAGGAGGGAGCCCAGAGCGCTGAGCTCTGCCGCGGGGCAGCACCGGCGCGGCTCCGAGCCTTCCCTCACGGCCGCCCCGCTCAGGGCCTGCCCGCCGCCATCTTGCGGCACCGGCGGCGCCCGGGCCCCGCGCGGCCATGAGGGACGGGTGGCTTGGGGGCGGGCCGGGCGCCGTGCCGGCCGTGGGGAAGACCCCCGGGGGGGTCCTGGGGAC